TATATATATATATATACTAAAACTGTCAATATTTTGTCGGTGATATGAGGAAACCTACATTTCAGGATTAGCTGATGTGGTGTTGAGGAAGTAATCGAACTGCAAACGCCAAACTCGGCATGTCTCATCTTGATTTTTGCCATATTCGTTATTTAAGATTTCCGCTGGTTAGTCACATATTTTGAAGTATAAATTGGAACATGGACGCCATGTCATTTAGAAGAAACTCTGAAAGCCGCATGTCTTGTGCTGGTAAGCTAGAAATTGTTCAAACAAAGGAACCCCACAACGGCCAAACGAATTATGTTTCGTTAGGTGATCCCACCTACGGGCGATCCCAGTTGTCTGATGTTGACGAAGTGATGTGTTAATTTTCAATAGAGGTTTCCTCCTGTAAATGACGACAACCTGGGCCGATAAGCCAAGTAACACTGCACCATTGTTTCATCCTTGTTAGGAATCAGTAGCAGTGCGCATCTCACGAAACTTGGAGAGTTTCGAACCCGTGAATTCCCAGCGAGCCATGAGCGGCTGATCAATGATTAGCTCTCGGTTAGACAGGACGTAACGCCACTCACCCTTCAGTGGTGGAAGCCGCATCACATGGTCACGTGGTCACGTGTCGACTGGTTCCTGGAGTGACGATTTCTTATTAGGGAGTTTCATACATCCGGTCAAATAATACCTCTTCTGAGATAGTTATCGATTGATGATTAGGAGACTTGGTGATTTTCCATAGAAATTTTGTTGTCGGTAGGGCCAATCAAGTGACCGCTTGATGTGGTTTCTGTGCTTAAAGGATGAGTGGCACTATGGCCCGTCAAGAAAGCTAATCACACTTCTGATCAGCCGCTTGCGGCTAGACAGTTAAGTGTTCAACTTCTGGCTGGAGGTTCACGGGTTCTTAACCATCCGAGTTCCGTGAGATGCCCACTGCTAAAGGCGCTCAAGGACGAAACAACTGTACAGTGCTTTTCGGCTCATCAACATAGATTGGCATCTTTTACAAGAGGAAGTTTCATTTGTTTGAAGTCGTCAGGCACCGGTGACCAATATGGCCTGGCTCAGTTAATTAATTCCCCCCCCCCATTCTGTCAGGCTTTTCTGTTGGTTGTCTTAAAATTTGTTAAGTCATTACACGAATACAGCCTGGTTGAAAAACAGCTCAAAACTCCATGAGATACCAAACCTTTTATTGTGGTTGATTCTCATGACTTGGAAACACCAGGAAGTAGAATTGTAAGGCTTCCACTAGGCTACTATGGCTATGGATATTAACAGTAGTAACCATCGCTAAATATCGACGAAAGAGACATACAAAATGTGACATTATAAGACCACATGTGCGGTCGCAGCTAATGAAAGATATTTGTAGGATTGAACGCCTTCGGAGAGGTCAGTCCTGGAAAGATTAGTTTGGTGTCTAAAGAGGCCATGGTCTGTTGGGTCTTTTTACTGCAGCTCAAATAGCAGCTTGAGGAAATTGAGTAAAGCACCAGCTGTGAATCGACAGCACACCTGTCTTAGCCTGGCTTTATCTCTCTCTACCGGGTTTTGCGCACCCAAACTGGGTAGCAATCTTCATTTAGAGAGAGTAACAAACTGTAGCTCACATTTCCAAAAAGCATATGTAAAAGGCGTTGCTTGCTAGAGCATGCGTCCAAAAGCGAGGATGACTTCCCGAGTTGTAAAACTGAACATCTTTCGATAAGTAAACCCAGAACAAGAGAACGTCCAGGAGAAAAATCGGTCCATTTAAACAGATAAATAACTAAAGAACTAAAAAAATATTTAAACGAATAACTAAATAAAACCAAGGTTGTTCTCGTCACTTAAGTACCGTTCGAAAAGATATCGCTTTTCAATCGAATCACTAATTTTACTTTTTCAGGCGATAGTTACCGCCTAAAATTTATTGATGAGGATGTCGAGGATAAGGACACGGGGATCTTACCAAGCTGTTTTTGTTTTACTCAAGACTGTTCCCATCAGACCGAGCTACATTTACCGGCCTCTTACCGGCTCACCCCTCTCAGGTGTTACTTCAGGGTAGAGGCAGCACAAAATCCATGAGTTTAATTTATGAATTCCACTCAGGTAAAACTGTCTGACACTCAGACTAAAGGGTATAGGTTTTCTAATTAGGTTTTGCTGAACAGGCTTATCAAGTAAGGCTAGTAAAAGTATGGTGTACTTCAACACAGGATTAATTTTGAAGATAATTAATTTGAGTTTAAGTTTATCTGATATCTCCCTCGCAGAGAGGCTCACCTTAGGGTTAGGGTCGGTTGGGGTTCTCCCCTGGATTTTCCTTTAGTGTTGAACAAAGCCTAATAAATTTGTACGCACTATTTACACGAGGACGGTGTATTCCCACCCCGGATTCTGTCTCTTACTAAAAGTTCTCAATATCGTGCCACGCCATATGGTACCACCTGACCACCTCAAAAGATGGATGTTTTTGGTTGATACTGCGGACAAATGGATATCTACGCTACCAGCCGTAGTGTTCTCCGTCTAAGCTTCTTGAGTGGATGATAAGGCGTTATTTTCACAAACTTTCGCCATATTGCAAGACCCAATATATCATACTCGCTTATTTCTGTGGTTGTTTTGTCCTTGCTTTTTCTAGTGCACGGTTTTCCTGAATGAGGGAATCAGAACTTCATTCTTTAGAGCAATTTGTTATTGTACTGTTTTACCCAAAGCACATAAACGAAAAGTGCACAATCTGCGCCTAAACTCGATGTACGCTCTATGATTAAAAATTTTTTAGTAATGCTGTTTCAACTAGTGTCGTTTGCATAGATTGACTGCAAAACCAATGGCAACTTGATAACGTATCGGTCGAACGTGCCACGATTGAGGATCGAAACTCCCGGTGGTGGATCAGGCCGACGAAGAATAGAACATTGCAATCGGTGTCGTTATTCCTCTGTTGATTTGCCAAAATCGTAACGTAGGAAACTTATAGATATTGTTCAGTGCTTGAATTTGATAAGGCCACACCCGTGCGTCTTCTTGAGGAAGTGAAGTCAATAATACCGGGAAAAACTATTCACATTTTTCCCATATGTAATCTACTTTCGTACTCATTGTACTCTTGATGGTTTGCAGTCACTATTTTAGTGTGGGCGTCACCTCCTAATCTCCAAAAACGATCACAGTCTGTTAGTATTGATTAATGATAGGTGAAAACACTGCAAACTAGTGCTTACAATGATACTGTATGGCACTTTCTCACAAGGCTCTTGGTTCACTGGATTGTCCTTTGACTGGTGTCCGTAGATAATTTCAATATCACAATGGTTCGAATTTTTTACTCTGATCCTGTCGGTATTGGTGGAAATGGTCACAAATTTCGCGCTGCTGCTTATGTACTTTCTAGTTTAAACTACCCCAGGACCTTTTCCGTTTCAGTCATTGTTAAAACAATAGATCTAGGCGAATCAGTGTTCCTGAGAAAAAATCATCTGAACAAACCCGTTGATATTGATTACCCGTGAGTGCTTTCGTCTGAGCGAAATCGTTCTTATCTTTTCAAAAATCC